CACGGGGCGGGGGGGTCACTCCAGTGAAGAACAAGTCTGCTTCTCAGCCATCTCTCCCCTCTACCCACCCTCTGTCTCAGAAGATCTTCCCTCTGCCCATTTGCTGACACATTATGGGAGGAGAGCTGGAGTCCAGCCCCAAGGCCTCTCATTCCAACTCCAGAGGTTGCACTGTAGAGACTATGACTTCTAGCTGAGTTCTCAAGCCTCAGAGAGCACCAGATCAGGGAGGGAGCACCATCAGATCAGAGCTGAGGGTAACCCAGGGCTTGACTCTAATACTTGCGTTTCTTTCTTGTTTTTGATAATTAATTGTCATAGTTTTATTTTTCAATTGTGAAAATACTGTACAGAGAGGTTACAATTATATGAGCAAGGTAATAAGTACATTCCTTATCCTTTGTTTTTCCCCTACCATCCCTGCCCTCCAGCTCTCCCCTCCTCCTGCGCCAAAGTTGTAAAGTTCATTTTTCAACACAGGATTTTGTACATCTCATTGTTGCAATAGGTCCACCTGTATCCATATTTAAACAATTTTGTTTTTTCCCTTCCCCTCCCCAAATTATACCAACATCAAATACAGTGAAAACAGGAGTTATACTGTGGGGGAGGGACATACAAAGCAACAAAACAATCACCTTATAAATATGTTAGAAATAATTCAAGAAAGAAAAAAACCACTTGTGTCCTTATCTTGGGGTTCATGTCGCCTAACATCATCTTATCTTCCCTTTCCTGCTTGTCTCAGACATATACTAGTAATACTTGCATTTCTGAGGTAGCGTGGAGTCTGAGATTCCGCATGTCTAGTTCCCAGGGGAGGCAGATGCTGTTGGTCCCAGGACCAACCAACCTCTGAGGGCCATTCCAGATGTGTATGTGCCACCCAGAGCAGAGTGTGTGTGTGAGTGTGTGTGTGTGTGTGTGTGTGTGTGTGCGCGTGCGCGCGCGTGCGTGCATGCTCACCCTTGATGGGGAGGAGGACTTCAGACAGGAGCCTGCTGGTTCCCATGTCTACAGATATTCTTCCCTGTCTGTACATCCTGGGTTTCAGCCCCACCCCACCCCCCATAGATGCAAAATCCAGGAAGGCTCAAGTGTCTTAAAAATGATTTCATATTTGCATGTTACCTATGCACATCATCCTGCGTGCTTACATCATCTCTAGAGCACCTGCAATGCCACAATCCAATGTCAATACTATTAGACCTGTTAGTCTACAATGTTGTTTGAAAAGAATGATAAGAAAAGGTTTGCACATCCAACACCCCTTTATGATGAAGGTTCTGGAGAAACTAGGAACCCATGGAATATATAATATAGGCTGTATAAAGTTCTAGAACCAACCCAGATGCCCCTCAGTAGATGAATGGATCAAGAAAATGTGGTATATATACACAATGGAATTCTGCACCTCCATCAGAAAGAATGACACTGCCCCAATGGAAATGGAAATGGAAAATAAAATAATATTAAGTGAAGTAAGCCAGGCCCAAAGAAACATAGGTCCCATGGTTCACCTTTTTTGCAATTACTAGTATATGTCTAGTATAATCTTACTAGAGAAGCAAAAAAGGTCAAAAGCTATGTACATATGACCAGATAAGATGATGCTAGGCAAAATGAACCCCAAGATAGGGACACAAGAGATTTTATCATTGTCACTGTTGTTTTTAATGTACTATGTGATTTTTTTTATTTTGTATGTTCTTCCCTTGTGGTATAACCCCTGTTGTCACCGTATCTGATTCTGGTGTCCTGTATCTTGTACATACATATTTCTAATTTGGGAGGGGAAGGGAAATAACAAAATGCTGAAACAAAGATACAGGTTGACCCATTGTAACAATGAGATGTATGAGACACTATGTTGAAAATAAACTTTACAACTTGTGGGGGGGGGTGAGGGAGGCGTTGGGGATGTAGGGAGGGAAGGGATAGTAGGGGAAAAACAAAGGAAGGGTTAACAATGCTCGATAGGAAATGTACTCATTACCTTACTCATGTAACTGTAACCCCTCGGTATAGTATCTTTACAATAATATATAAACGTATACATATATATGTATTTATATACACACACACACACACACACACACATATATAAAGAAAACACTTGCACATGCTTATCAAAAGCAATTCATTTGCAATGCTTTTGATCTGTGGTTCTAAATGGCTCATGTGGAAACTAAACATAGGGAGGGGCCAACTGATATAGAAGATGGTTTTGATCATTAGAATACAGAAAGGATACAGAATTTGGAGTGTGAATTCAAATCCAGCCTTTCATGACCTCCCTCCCTCCTTTTCCTTCTCCCTCTCCTCTTTTCCTTTTCCACTCCCTCTCCTGCATATCTCTGACCTGCTTCCTCAATTTCAACAGGCTTTATTGTATCTTCATGTATGAATATGCATATATTGTCCATATTTATCTTTCTTCACCTTCCCCATCTACCCTCCCAACTCCCTGTCATTCATTTTATCTTTCAGAGTGAGTCAATTGCACATACTGTGCTTTTCTTGAAGCCTCTGGGCAGTATCCTATACCCGGGCCCCAGTGCTCAGCTCAGCCTTGGCCTCTGTGTGCTCAGGTCAGTGTACGTTTGAACTTGGGAGGTGGATGACCCTTTGTGTAACTAGATATGTAGCTTCAAGAGGGTTTTTTAACTCTTCTCTGGGCTGGGTTTTTCTTTCCTGTGAAGGGCAGAGTAATGGAAGCGTGATGGGTTGGATCCAACGAGCCATGTGTTCAGCCCTTAGGACGCTGTCTAGTGCATAGTGCACACTGGTGGATGCTTCTTTCTTGAGGACCAACTCTGTTGCAGGCCTATTACAGAAGCCATTTATTTTTTATGTATGTATGTATGTATGTATTTGTTGGTCGTGGGGCTTGAACTCTGGGCCTGGGTGCTGTCCCTGTGCTCTTCAGCTCAAGGTGAGTGCTCTCCCTCTTGAGCCACGGTGCCCCTTCCGGTTTTCTAGTGGTTTATTGGAGATCAGAGTCTCATGGACTGTTTTACCCAGGCTGGCTTTGAACCATGATCCTCAGATTTCAGCCTCCTGAGTAGTGAGGATTACAGGTGTGAGCCACCGGTGCCCAGCTAGAAGCCATTAATTTAAGCCTCAAATACAGACACTGTTATATGCTCAGGAGATTTGGCATTGAATGAGAGTCTACTTTTCTACATATCACTTCTAAAGTTTACAACTGGACATAGCTATTGGTTGTCAGGCAGCTAAAAAAGGGCAGGTTTGCTGAGATTCCAGTTGGACCCAGGAGGCTCATGGTATGCCAGGATCCCGCCACAGCCCCATCCATCCCCAAATGCTGCGTGTCATTTTTATGGACAATGATATGTTGGCATAATAGTTGTAGAAGTAAGACAGTAGATGCAAATATGTTGTTTTCAGACATTTTAATCTGATTTATGTATCTCAAGTACTAATTTATATTCATATAATACTTCCATTATAAAATATGCAGTGGTACAGAGATTTGTATGTATATGTGAATTTGTTTTAAACGTTAGATTTATAAATGGTTTGGAATAGGCTGTAGAAACATCGTCTGCTGCTCTTTTTAATATATCTTGAGCATGCTATGACACATCCTGAAATAATTTGCTTTGGAAAAAAACCACTGCTCTCCTCTTGCTGTCTCTTCCCCCCCTCAAAGTAACAGTAAATATTACTTTGATGTATGTAATTACTTCAACCCTCTCCATTCGACAGGCGGCTTTCTAACCCTTCCACTTCCCATCTCTTGCTTTTGTCAAGAACTCAGAAAAACGGACTTAAACATGCATTATTCAAATGTATTTAGGGTAAACATTAGAGAGCAGCTACAGTTTTTCCTTTCTTTTTTTTTTTTTGGGTCTGGTCGTGGGGCCTGAACTCTGGGCTTGGGCACTGTCTCTCAGCTCTTCAGCTCAAGGCTAGCGCTCTACCACTTGAGCCACAGCGCCACTTCTGGCGTTTTTTTCTTTTTTGCTTATGTGGTGCTGAGGAATCGAACCCAGGGCCTCATGCATGCAAGGCAAGCGCTCTACCACTGAGCCACCTTCCCAGCCCAGTTTTTCCTTTCTTAAAGTGATTTTGAAGAATAACATGCACATTCTGTCCCACAAGCAACCCTGCCTCCCCCCAACCCTCAGTGAAGTATTCATCTAATATGTCTTATGACCTCAGGGGTCCTGACAGTGTCACGGACACAGAAGAACCTGAAGCATGCTTGGCAGGTTGACTTGAGTGGAATGAACTTGGAATGGTGGGGCTGGTGGTATTCATGGAGGACCTGCAGGAAGAGGGCACCGGGGGAGCTGTGGAGAGGGAGTCGGGCTGGGCACAGTGGCCCCATGAGTGTTGGGAGGCTGTCTGGGATTGTCTGTGCGACTCTCAGGTGGGTTTATGGCCAGATCCCTGAGCCATCAGCCAGCCCTCACTGGCAGATGCATGGCTGCCTCCCCAGTGTCTCTCTCGTGGGGCTGTTCAGAAACCTGAGCAAGGGATAAAAGCAGCCCTGTCCTGTGAAGCTATGGAACCCTGGAGTTTTCAGCCCAGTCTACCCCCCACCTGCCTGCAAATCCCCTATACCTCCATCAGAGCCCCTTACTTGGTCTCTTAAGATCACGACCAGTGGATGGGAGTATGGCTCCGTGGTAGAGTGCTTGCCTAGCATGCATGAAGTCCTGGGTTCAAGTCCTTCCTACCAAGTACACAGACAAAGCTGGAGGTGACAGTGTGGCTCAAGTGGTAGAGTGCTAGCCTTGAGCAAAAGAAACTCAGGGACAGTGCCCAGGCCCTGAGTTCAAGCTCCAATGACTGGCAAAGTAAAAAATCACTACCAGTGATGTAATTTAATTGTATTAACATTCTCTGTGTCTGTCTCTGCCCATCTCTCTGTCTCTGTCTGTCTCTCTGTCTCTGTCTGTTTGATAGTCTTGTTTGCCACAGAATTAAAAACGTCACTTTTCTATTAATAAACAAGTAAAAATTCTGACCTATTTTTTGGCAGAGAGAAGTTCTGGAATTTCAAATCACTGGATCCTTCTTTTGTTGTCCTTTTATTACCCCTGGGATGAAAGGAAATAGATTATAGCTGAGAATTAGCAATAAGCTAGGAGGAAGAATTAATTAAGTGCATTCATTCAGAGAAACAACCACCCAGTCAGATTTAAGTAATGAATGCTGCACATATAATTTTGAGTCTCCCTTTGCATTTCCATTGGGGTTTAAAAAAAAGCCCTAAAACCCCTTGTGTTTAAAGTCATTTAATTACTTAAAACCACTTTTTAAAAAAGCATTATTTTTTCAGGAGGAATATTGTGGGATGGGTCAAGATGGAGCTGTGACTGCTGCTCCCACATGGTGACTTTTAAAAACGTGTGTGTGTGTGTGTGTGTGTGTGTGTGTGTGTGTGTGTGTGTGTGTGTGTGTTTGTGAGTATGCAGTACTGGGGCTTGAACCCTGGGCCTGGGTGCTGCCCCCTCAGCTTTTTTTTGCGTAAGGATGGCACTCTACTACTCGAGCCACAGCTCCACTTCTGGCTTTTTTGTTGATAATTGGAGTCCTAGGCCAGCTTCAAATAGTGACTTTTAGATCTCAGCTTGCTGAGTATCTAGGAATTCAGGCTGGACTAGTGCCTAGCCCTTTAGTGGTATTAGTCTCAAGCTCCAAGAGTTTCTTCCTTGTCTGCAAAATTGAAGGTGTCATACTTCTGTGGCATGATCGACAGGAGACTGGCAGGATATTGAGAGGTCCCCATCTTCAAGCCTGGGAAGAGTCTAGCTGCTTCCTTATATTAGTTGAATTTGATGAGAAGTCTAGAAAATATCAACCCACATAGGAAAACTGGAGATTGAGCAAGAGTAGCCCCGATACAAGTAATAGTTACTGAACTTCCATATAATTTAGGCATTGTGCTAATCCACTTTCCTTGAAGATTAAATTATTTTAAATTGAGTTAATTTGTTAAAATTCATTAAACACACTATCATAAGCCATTATTGTTATGCATCTCTAGCTCATTTAATTAGCTCAGTATAACATACTTTTCTTTCTTAGGCACTTCATGAGCTTTATCAAACAGTGGAGATTTTTCTTTCCTGTTTCCTCCAAGACAAGTGGTGGTTAGCTGCTTTAACCCTCTGGCCTTCCTGCTATGTCCCATTTGACCAGCCTTGCCTTTGTTTGCTCCTTGGACTTCCTCTGTTCCCTCACACAGAACTCTTTCAAGTCTACTTCCTTCTTCCCAGCATGCTCCTGGACTGCCTGTTTCTTGTTCTGCTGCCCTTCATGGGTTCTGGTCTTAGATTAAGTGTTAGTCCTTTGGGAGAAACTCTCTCTCTGACCTTGCTGACCTGCTCCTTCCCAGAACTTGGTTGGGTTTTAATTTTACTTTCGTTATAATTGACCTGGAGTTCATGTCTGACAAAACTTTCAACTTGCATCTTTGCAAGACCAGAGATTTGTAGATTTTGTCTTCCCAGGGCCTAGTTGCATGTCTGGCTCTCAGTGGACTCCCGTGGCAGGGCAAGATGTCTAAAGATAGGTTCATAGGTCTAAAGGACATTGATACTTACCTCAAGATGGCTTAGGGCCTGGCATTTATACAACCTGATAAATATAATGTCTAGTGAATTGTCATGGAATGACAATTCACAATAATGATGGCATTATTCCATGATTTCAATATTCCTAGCTTTATTTCTTTCCTCATTTAATTATTTAAAAATGATTTCATTATTTTATTGTTTCTGATACTTCATTCATTCAATATTGAGGATTGAATCCAGGGCTTATCCCCAGCCTTTTGTGGTTCTATTATTTTTGAGGTAGAGTTTAACTTTGCCAGGGCTGGCCTCAAGCTTGAGATCTTTTGCCTCCATCCCCAAGTAGCTGGGGTTAGAGATGTGTGGTTGTATGTTTTTGTTATTTCACTGTTCTTCCTCTATTTAACCAAAGATAATTTATAATAATACGATAAAGATAATTTATATGGATATATAAAGTTTTATACATATCCAGACATATCTAAATATATACATACATATTTGCTTTTTCTTTTTGTTGGGCGTGGGGCTTGAACTCTGGGCTTGGGCGCTGTCCCTCAGCTCTTCAGCTCAAGGCCAGTGCTCTGCCACTTGAGCTACAGCACCACTTCCGGTTTTCTGGTGGTTTATTGGAGATAAGAGTTTCATGGACTTTCCTGCCCAGGCTGGCTTCGAACTGTGATCCTCAGACCTCAGCCTCCTCAGTAGCTAGGATTACAGGTGGGAGCCACCAGCACCCAGCCACGTTTGCTCTTTGACTTAGAAGTTCTGGACATAAACATCGAACTATTTCCTGGGTCTTTCTAACTGGCATCCATTCCATTGCTCACCACAGAGATGTTCTTTGCTTTTTCCACCTCCATCATTGCTACCTTGCTAATCTGTTATCACTTTCCAGCCCTCAGATCCTCACATACCTCTCAGTTCTATTCCTTCCTCTTTGTCCCTTCAGCTGGTCTCAGTTTTAATCCTTCTTTCAGTATTTCCAGAATGCTGCCTGCTCTCTTGGCCTCCCAAGCTCCAGCCAATCCACAAAGCTGACTAAGAGCCACCTTTCTAATTAGCAGAAGAACATCAAGTCACCTTCCTGCTCGAAAATCCTCATCAGCTCTCCAGTCCTACAGGAGAAAAATCCAAACTTTTGAGTGCAATAGCTGAGATTCCTGCCCCCAGAAGCCTAAAATGCCATTTATAGCTATTGTATTTCCCACCAGTCCCCCATGCTGCGGTCTTTGAACCATACTTTATCTGCTTATGTCTTTTTTTGATGCATTCATAATCATTAATCAGATTATTCTTTATACTTCCTATGGACCTGAAAAATAATTTCCATTCTTCAAGGTCAAATTCAAATTCCCTAGGAGTCTTTGTCTACTGCTTCTTCTGTCTTCATTCATCCATCCATTCACCTACTCACTCATCCACTCATTCATTCACTTTGGAAAGTATCTATTGGGCCTGTTCTGTTTCAAGCAGTGTGTGTTTAGTAACGGGAAACAGGAAAGGAAAAGCAGAAACAGTTACAATAATTGGAGAGACATGTCATATGTGAATAGAATCTTACTTTATTATATTAACCTGTATGTGCCTGTGTGTGTGTTTATGATTACCCCGCCGAGGTCTTTTGTGAGTAGGGCATATCTTGGGCATCATTTTCCACCCCAGGAACACAGGATAATTTACCTCAGCATGCTCTCAAGAATGAAAAGTAATTAATAGATGCACCAATAACAAATACATCAATGGCCTGCCAGCCTGTGTTTATCCACATGATGAGCCATGTACTTAATTGCCTAGAGTATTTTGTCTCTCTCTGATATCGGAAGAGTTGATGGGCCCTCGTGTGGAGAGGGCAGCCCTCAGTTTCATCGAAACTCTGGATCATGGTTTCATTTTTGAAGTTGCACAGGCCATGTCCACAATCACTTCAGTGCTTTTTCCAGTCTAGTTAGGCAAATGGGAAGATCCTGAAAACTCCGTCAGCTTCTTCCTAGTTACCTGAAGAGCCCAAAAGCCTGGAAGCCCACTCTGACCTTTGGAGATCATCAGTTTTGGCTCTTTTTGACTGTAAGAAGAGAGTTGAACTAAAATTCTCTTTCGATCTCATTTTACTTTCAACTGCACAAAGACAGGCATCCTTCTAGCTTGGCACTGTGGGTGAAAACTCAACTGAAAGCAGAGGGGCTTTGGTTTAGGGCGGCAGGCTGATTGGTGGCAGAACCAGTACTGCCAATGCCAGGCTGCCAGTTGCCTACCCAGAGGGCAGGAGGTCGCAAAGGAAGCCGGGCCACCTATACTGGCTCAGGCCAGGCCCACCTAAAAGCAGCAAAGGGAGAGAGAGGAAAAGGAGTTTCTAGGATTACAGGCTGGGGCAGCATCCTGCCCTTGTGTTGCATGGGAAGCTGGGGGAAGCCCCTCCTCCTGTCCTCCTTGCTGGCGACAGACCCCAGGGCAAACTCCATGCAGACAATGGGGATGGGGTGTCTGGTGTCCACTGGAGACTCTGCATGTATGATGGGGTTTGGGGAAAGCGCCTTGCACATCTGAGGTTAGGCATTTTGTGTTGAGTGCTAGGTGTGTAGTAGAGAGTAGCAATCACAAGCCTGGCTCACGACGGGAAGGGAGTTATATAGAATGTGGAGAGACTTGAGGGGCATTGGGTCCTCGGCTCCATGTGTTGCTTGTTTCAGTATGGGCCTAAGAGGAGACACATCTCAAAGATGTCTGGAAGATTTCCTATAAACCTAGGAGCCAAATCAGGTGGCATCTTCCACAGCCTATCGTGTAATCAGCCATGAGGTTATCACTTGAGGAGAGGGGACGGCCCTCGATGATGAATGTCTCAGCAGCCATGGATGAACTCAGCTTCCTGACTGCTATTGTGTGGCTCTGGGATAACTGACCTCGCCCCCAAGGCCCCTGTGTTTAAGGCTTTGTCAGCAACTCGTGGTGCCATTGCAGGGGCTGGGGGGTGAGTCAGGGGACAGAGGTGAGGAGACAGAAACATTTGAACAAATGTTGAAAGGGCCAGACTCACACATTAAAACCAGGAAGTGAAAATGGGGGAAAAGAACCCTAGAAAACAACTTTTCCTTCCCACCATACCTCCTTTTTGATGCGAAGTTAAAAGAGTGGGAGATGTAAGAGGCATGATTTAAATCTACCTTCTCCTTTGTAATGGTAAAAAGCTGCAGGCTCTTCCTAAATGGGTAGAAAGGGAGAAGCCTATCTGGGAATAGGCAGTCCTAAAACTCATGTTTTCTCTCTTTGTTTCTCTATTTTCTGACTTATCACCAAGAACAGCAGGCATCTTGGCCATGCAGAACTGACGTCTAATGATTGGGCATTGCTATAAAGCACAACTGCATGTGTCCACCCAGCTCAGGAAGAATGAAGACAGCAGATCACAGCTGCCATTTTGAGTCTTTAACTCCCATGTCCTGCTTGGAGAACAGGATATGTTACTCTCTTCTCTGTGTCTACTCTATCCTCTTCTACTAAAACAAATCCTTGCTGAACTC